GAGTGATAGCACGTTTATGAAACTACATAGATTAAATTAAAAATATATAAGCCAAATATAATAAAAATATATAATCTAATAAATATATAAGCTTATATTTTGAAAAGTGGTATAAGTTCAACGTCGTAAATTTTGCAAAAATTGATTTATATTTGTATGTTATTGGAGTTCCATTATGTTTAAACATCGATCTTATACTATTGCTACTTTCAAAATGAACGATTCGTATAATCCTATCGATATTATACGGATATGATAATGTAATATTATCATCTCTTGAGACGCATATTTGATTCCTATATTATCTTTTATCCTACATATACTATAATTAATAGTGTGAAGAAGAAATTGATTAGAGAACGACACCGTAATTAACTTATTATAGCTATTTCACTTAACTGATCGCATTGAAATTTCGTTGTCGGCGTTTCTGGTTCGTAATATTTTATATCTGACGATTTAACATCATAAATTATATCCAATGTAAGAAATTGATAACTTAAAAAAATGCACTATAATTCTCAGCATCAATCAATCATTAATTTATATAGCATCTTAATTTATTTTTGCTACGTGTTTCAGATTTATGCCTTATATATGTAGAATATATCTTAGAGTTATTCATATATCTAGTCATTTCATAAATAATGTGCTGCCCTTAAAATAATTCTGCGTAATAAATGGTACATTACAAAAACAATTTTACTTTAAGACTATATTAGTCATAATTTACCAAAGTATTCTTGCATTATACTTTTGCACAGTCTATCCCAAAGGTTTGTAACTATTCAAAAAATGTAGAATATTGTGGTAAAGATCAATATAAATTTACCTCTTGATTTACAATATGTTGTCAAAGAGCCAAATTAATTCTAATATCAAAGTTAAGGTTACAAAAGATAAGTTTAAAGAATATATTTTTAGGATATAAAAGAGTATATCCTTTTTCTTTTTTTTATTATTATTATAGATGTAATTCAATATATTTGTTATATATCGTCAAGAACTAGCGCGTGCATTCTACAATTAATTAACGATGCTTTTATATATAATTTATATTATATTTAAAAGGGAAAAATTTTATTTTAATAATTTTTTTTATATCAAAAATTATATTATTACTCAGTCGAATTATTGTTGTAGCAGCTAATCATTGATATATTTCTAAGGAAAACCGATTCAAATCTAAGGACAGTATATCCATAATTATATAACCGGTTCTTGATGAATAATAGTTTCTTATTTATACATACATGTATGCATATGTATATCTACATGTGTATACATTTATAAATAAGAAATTCTTATTCATCGAGAGACGGCTATGAATACCGATTCCTAGGTTTCCTTTAGCAAATAAATGAAACCTTTCTTCGTCTCGAAGCGTTACGATATTTTAAGCCTTTTAAATCGGTATGTCATCTTTATAAAAGAATAATTTCTTCCTCGAGCTAAAATAACGTATAAGCGTTATTCGAAAAGAACTTTTGTGTTTTGTAGCCGATATTATGTGATCATCTTAGATAAGGAATAATATCCGTTTATTATTTTTAAGTGTATACTCATGTCTCCTTTGTATCTGGATTTATCTCGTGGCTGCGTTTTACGTCTCGTCACATTAATAGAGTCGCATAGCCCTACATGCGATCAGGAAATTTCATGACAAATTTTTATACGTATACTTCGAATTACGTATCTTTTTGTCGTTAGTGTTATATATATAAATATATGCATTTTGTAATATAAACTCGAGGAGTACAAAATTGTAAAAATAAAGCGCTTTTCGGCGATGTCACACACGGCAGCGATATTTCCTGAGCTCAATAACCGATTATATATAACACCGATTTAATACTCATTGCAGTAATTCTTAGTAATTTCGTAGCTCGCTCATTATCGTAAGATCGTTGCCGTATTGTGTATATATATGAATGAATTATATTAAAATTTCATGTATAACAAGTTTTACAAAGCATGCATTATATAAGATGTATATATAATGTAAGGTATATTATTATGTACACACACACACACACACAGAGTAGAATATAAAATATTATTCGAAGGATTAAGGATTTATTAATCTCTGTTTTTATTATTTAGCGAAAGTATACTTTGCGCTTCCTATAGAGATTAGGGCAATAAAATGGTGTAAAGCAAAAAAGATTCTTAAAAGATTCGTTATTAACATCTATGTTAGCAGTCTGTATTAGGAATAAATAATATCATGTAAAGAGAATAATTATTCGAATAAATTTACAAAATATTTTTTAAAATTATTTTTTTAGATATCACTGTATTATTATAACAATGATATTTTTAAAAAATTTCAAAAGATATCTTGGAAATTTATTCATGCACATACACACACATATCTTAAAAGAAAATACATACATTTTTTTCAATTCAAAGAATATAAATATTTTTTGGTTATGTTTGATTGTATTTAAGTTGAACAAAACTTTAAACAAAATTATACCTTTGTATTATATGCTCTTTTTCACACTTTGAGAAAGATGGAGAGAGCAAATTGCGAAGGCGAAGAGATGGTGAAATAAATGATCAAATAATGAGATACATATATGTATAAAATACCGATAGTTTATTTTCAATCTTTTGCGTTGCCGCGAGGATGCATAAGATATGTACACAGATGTCGGATTATTTTACGTAGTACAATTCTCATCTATGCATTAAAAGAAGTAATTTACGTGCTAGCTTTAAAAATAACGCATTATAAATGTCTCGTTTTCCTCTGACTTGGTAAAAACTACGGTAATGATCGGATACATCAGGCATTTGATGAATATCTCGGGCGAAGTGTGATTTGAGGTATATCAGTGGTATTCTATTGCGCGCTATTAAAAAAAAAAAAAAAAAACGAATAAGGAAGAGACAAAAAAAATAGTTGATTGGTCTTGATAGAGACCGTTGAAAAGTTTCGTGGAAATATACTTGACATATACACGTATCTAACCGATTGTGTATACGCGTGTGTGTATTTACTTATAAACGTAAAATTGATAAATGAATCGATAATCGGAGTATAGCGGAGTATAATTTCCGTTTATGCAGATCGCACAGGGGGAGATTATATTTTCTTATTTAAGAGACTCGATCTTAAATTTCTGACGAGATCCTCTCGTCCTTATAAAAAAAAGAAAACTTAATTCGCTGATTTACTATCGCTCCTATTTACATCGAGTTCTAATCGCTTAATTTTTTTCCTTCAGTTTTCTCCTAACTTTCTCTCTCATCTCAATTTTTTAAGACTGATTCTCATTAGTTTTCCTCAAAATATTTCAAACAAAATTATTTTAGACGATATTGTCAAGTCATATTTACTTTTCCCGAACTGTTGAAAATCAAAGAATCTTGTCTGATTTGAAGTTTATGAAAAGTTAATGAAATAGAATGGATTGAATTACTTACAATGACTTTATAGATCGGTTTTTTCTTCAACGCTATCGCTTCTCTATATATACATTTCGCTGCTTAAACGCTAAAACACGCGCATCAACGCTTGCGTCCCATATCTTTCATTCGCTCTCAAACAACCTTTGTCTCTCCTTAGGAACCTGCGACGTTACGCGGTATTACATCTCTCAGCGCAGTAATAAATCATCGCATACACGGCGAGGGAATATCTTGTTTCTTAAAAAAAAAAAAAAAAAGAAAAAAAAAAAAAAAAAAAAAAAAAAAAAAAAAAAAAAAACGCTCTTTGAATTACATTAATTATATATATGTACACACGCGATAAGTGAATACAATCGCGTCCCCGTTGTTTCCTTAAATATAAAAATCGGACGCAGTTAATAATTCTCAATTGGTATTTCGCAGTGATTCCGCGATGCTAAAGGATTCTTCTTTGATTTGAGAAAAGAAAGTTTTTATTTTTGTATAAATTTTATATATTGACATAATTTTTTATTTAGATTTTCTTCTCCGTATATGATTGAATAATTATATTTTTATAATTACTGGATTATATTTTTATTATTAAACAATCTCCTTTTTATTTAAAATGACATTTTGCGGAAAGAACTCAATTTTCGAAAAAAAATAGAATATTTTTGCTTATATATATTGAATTATCCTTTCTCAATTCAAAGGTTTCGCGAGGCGGATCTCTTCTTGTCGAATCGATTAATCGTACTCGTCAACGACAATACTAACGTCAAAATGTAAAGTACGATAAAGATATGTATCATCAATGACTTTCGACGATATGTATGTGACGACGATTACAAAAAAGAAAAACAGGCGAAGAAAAGAAAATGAAAGAGAGATCCAGTCGCGCAGATCTCTCTCCCGTGTAATATCTTTGTATTACTCGACTCCGATTACATTGTACTAAGATTTGGTTAATTGACATTTTTTTTTACATACTAACTAGTTTCCATTTCGTGGCACATTCGGGATTTTGTCAAATCCCCCAGTCCTGACACGACATTCGCGCATAAACTCGAGTGATTCACGTAATGATTTATTAGTCTTCGTGTTTTCTCTGCTCAAACGGACTCGCGCGCTTGGATAATTCGGATCGATTCGCGAATCTTGCAGAAATGATCAAAGTCGCATAACGTGAACCTGTCGTTCACATGTTCCTCCGTACGACCGATTCGACCAGCTCGGTCAACCAGGTCAACACGACGAATCGCACAATTATAAGAATACTTGTGCGATTGATATACGAGATATTCGTTCTTCCGGTATATATATATATACATGTATACGCCCTCACTTCTTACGTCTCCACTCGAATCGACTCGCGATGCGAGAGTTCTCAGAGCTACCGGACGTCGATTTTAATTTGACGTATGATCCTGTCTACGCGAATTTGGGCAATTTTGAAAGCCGAACAACGACGTCCGTCTTCTGCGAAACTCACGCGCTCGCAAATGTGTCGTCGGAATTTTCGGAGTCACGAGACGACGAAGCTCCCCGTTTGAGACCGGTTTTTTTGAGACTCTCATTAAGTACTAGCAATTCCGTTATCATTTTTTTTTTTTTTTTTTTTTTTTTTTTTGGATATCAGTTCCGTCCGACGATCACGCGTATGACGATCGTTGGCTTCGCCACGTCACCACGGATACTATCTAGAATCACAGAAAATGTTGACATGATCAGGACCATCTATCATATAACAATAATCCCGCATAAGACACGCTCGAAAGTTAAACATTAGTTCATCTGAGCGAGATTATCTTTTTACAACAGCACTTGAAAGATGTGAAAGTACTCTTCTAGACAATACGTATTTGACGTAGCGAAGGAACTATCGATCAGATTTCGATTTTCTTTCATTGTGATTTTGTACGAAATTCTTCCGAAACACGATCATCATCAAACCGTGTTCTCTCGTTTCTCGATATATCGTTTAATATTTTCCATTCGTTGTATTTTCACTTCGCTTTTATGTTTTTTCCCTTAAATTTACTACGCGTTATCTTATTTAATCGTACTGTCTATCTACCTACACATATATACAGTCATCTATGTGAACGTCCTTGAGATATTGTATATAATATAATATCTCGCGTATTATTATATATCGACGACATTCGAAAGGAGGGGGAAAGTCAATTTTTCTCTTCTTTTTTTTTTGGTTTTTCGTTCGATTCTTCTTCTCCCAACGCTTTCTTTCTCTTTTGTTTATCTTCACTCTCATCTCTTTCGCACACATGGACTATAATAAACTGTACACGCATACACTTCGCGAGAATCACTCTTTTCATGCTTGCATTACATTACGCGCACGCGGGGAGGGGGAGGGGTGGAAGGGATTGGCACAACCCTTCTTAGGAACCGAGCGGGATAAGCGAACGGTCGCGCCATAATCTTTCGAATATATAAAGACTCGCATCGCTCATCATTTGGATAAACCTTAGTCGTAGTATGAAACTTTACAAAATTAAAAACAACTGGATCATATCGCGCGATAAAAAACTGCGAGAGACAACATTCTATGTCGCATTGTAGATCACAGACACGGTTCGGTTTATTAGTATCTTTACGAAGAAACGAATACCTTTGCGTCTTAAAAATATCTGCATGTATTCATTCTTGAAATATTCGAACGTATTATTCTATATGTGTATTTAGTCATCTTTCGAGTGATAAATCTCATAGAAGTAGTAGAAATTAAAAGAAATAAAGCAATCTTGGGCGATTTGGACTGCCAAGCAATTTCTATATTTCTTTTAAGTAAATCACACTTTTTTTTTTAAACTCTTAGATATTATTTCATTGTGTGTATTAAACATTTGATTTAATGTCGTAGGCAACATGGTCTTATATCTCTTTTTTACTGATTGTTATCTCTCACTTTTCCTTTTTATCGTGCATTCATTTTGTACGACCCTTGATACCGCATCCTTTTTATCTCTCTCTTTTATCAGTTTACATATCTGTATATATATAGATATTTTTTCGATATAATATATATATTTATTCGTACGCATACTATATATGTACAAAAACGTTAAATGACTCTGGATATGACTAAGTGAAATTTTTTTTCTTTTTAATGCTCACGCGGAGGACAAGTTCCCTCCTATTTACGTTGTCGTATTTTTCGTGTTTCTCGGTAATTTCTTATCTCGTCACCTAAAAGTTAAGTTATATGTATATATATATAACTTAGTTAAGAATATATATACATTCCTATTACAAAATTACAAATGCGTAAAGCGTATTGCATTGCCTTCCCCCAAACAGCACGCCTTTCTGATTTCTATATTCTTTTCTTCCATGTTTTACGGACGACACACGTTAGAATAGTGCAAATTCAGACACAAATGGATCGCCCGGTGGTCATCAAATATTTTTCGCATCATCTCGAGCATATATATCTTTAATCATTCGCCTCTTTGTTTATTTTCGTTTGTCTTCCGCAATTTCACGGTTTTTTCGATTTAAAACCCATGAACCAACCATGTTCTTTGTCACAGTTCGTGAATCTTGAAGCGATTTCGAAAAATAAAGCATTATTAAAATTTGACATCAACGATGATGAACGCATATGTCAAATAAATGTATCATAATTGATATATTCGTTGGAGTGGACTACTGCAGTCTATTTGAATAACTATGAGAAAATAAAAATTTTTCTTTAGTCCATTTAGGACATATTGTACGCACATATCTACATCTCGCAAAATATATATAAATCCAAGAAACATAAAAATTCTCTCTTACATAAGTACGTCCCGTCAATCACATATCGAAATAAACTTCATATTAATTCAAAATGCATCCTACATGCTTCAAATTGCGTCCTACCTGTTTTTGGTTTGTAATAATAATAATTCATGGCCCAGTTTTCAATCAAACGCGCGATTAGCGATCGATCAGGTTCAATCTCGAGATTCTTCGGGAGGAGTTTTTCGCTTCGAAGGACAATCAGCTACTTCCACATCACGTTTCTCTTCCGGCGTGTCCTGTTGCTCTTCCAGAATCATTTTCCGTTTCTTTGCCGGCTGTCCATCATCGTCGTCGTCCTCCTCGCTGGAGGGCAATTTCTCCTCCTCGGCTGTGAGACTCACCGGTGTGTCAGCCCCTACGGAGTGTCCCCCTACTGCGGTTTTCAAAAATGTACGTCCCTGACGTCGGTCGGCGTGCCCGCTTTCTCGTGCTCCAGTATTTTCTCCTGACTCGTATTGTTTTGGTCCCCCAGCGGCCTCTGCGACGCGCTCGTGACACTGGTACTCATTGTCTGATGTCCGCTTCCGCTACCGGGGCTATCGGTGCTCACGTGGGCGGCCTGCGAGATCATCTCCTCTATCTGCTCTAGGCAGCCTTGCAGATAATCCTGCAGGAAATAATTTTGTTATATCGGGGTTATTTTTGTACTTATGTATTAAAAAATAATTTTTCTTATTTATTAAAAGAATATTTTCTCTAGCTTCCGTATATATTTATGGGTGAATCAAGATCAAGGGTTAAAACTGTCGAACTTAAAGTTCTAAGACTGATATGTCTCGCGGGTTACAGCTGTGACCCGAGGTCATGAATGAAAGTCCAGGGAGACCGGATGCCGTCTCGAGGACGATATCTTCCTACTCTTGGGGCCCAAACACACAGACGAAAGAGCGGACCGCTTAAAAATATTGCACTTTACGGGTCACGGACCCCATGTCGCGCCATTCATTCGCGCTTCGGTTTATTTGTACTAGGCGATAGGATGGAGAAAGAAAGGAGGAGAAAGCGAGAGACCGCGAAAGATGAGAAGACGAAACGGCGACCCCGCTCGACTCGTCGTCATCGTTCGACGCGCATACGGGGCCCGCAGCAGCAGACCCCGGCTCCTTTTTTTTTTTTTCTTCCCTACTCCGGCGCGCGCGCAAACATGTGCCCGGCACCTGCTCCACTGTCTCTCCTTCCCGCGCACTTCCCGTCGCCTTTTTTTGCGAGTCCCGCGAGTCTGTCTTTCCATGGTCGGACTTACGCGAAGGGCAAGTTCTATCGTTTCTTGCCGATTTCGTGTCTCGGCACCAGAACATTGACGGCGCATCGTCAATGGGCGCGTTCGTTTATGTCAAATCTTCTAATCTTGTTGCAAAGGAATGGCAAAATCGAGGTAATATAGATGGGACAATTTCTTTTTTTTTTTTTACACATACGTGATATTTTTGATACGCACGCTACTAACCTGTTCGATAGCCGTGATGCGAGTGAGCTCGTCCAGAAGACCGGCTAGCCCGTAGCCGCTTTTCCCGGTCCAGTCCAGTCCGTGTAACGCCGCCGCGACGCTCGCCGCCGCTATCATGCTCGGCGTGTACATGGAGAACTTGTATTCTGAACATAAGACAACGGTACACATTAAAGACGTGTATAATATTTTATAAACTACAAATTTATATATACATTTTATTACTCTAAATACGTTCAATAATCGCGCATTTAAATACAGGATAAAATTATCAAAAATACGAAATCAAATTGCGAAAAAAATGTTAGAAGCGCATTGTATTAATTTATATGCGCAATGTTGAAACTCTTTTAAATTAATATTTAAACAAGTGATATTAGAGGAAGCGATATTACGTATTTCCTGTCAATTATTTGTCGATTTACGATTCACGCTACATTTTCCTCGAAGACGACCTCTCTTCACGCGCGTTTATTTCACTTTAAACACATTCTTTATCATTTAGCGCGCCACATGCTGCGAGGGTTAGTAAACAATGTTCCGCCAAAAGAGAGAACATTTTCTAGACATTTCCGGATACAAGTCGAAATTGCGATAGATTTATGGCAAGCGGGAACGGACGGAAACCGAGCACGTGGTGATCCTTTGTCCCACTTCCGCTGTTTCCTCAAAAAAATTCTAATGTTGCAACGTAAACCAGAACAATTCAGTTCTCGAAGGATCCAAGATGTGGAGTGTCGTTAAATCTATTTTAACGATATTATGATTTTCATCTTGGTGTATGTGCATAAAACTATTGCCAATTTTTTCTAATATTCGTGAAGTCAAAGCTGCAAAACGAGAATTATACAACCTGCGTCAGTGTTTCTCAGACTCGAAATACCCAGAGGCAGATTGAAAAAGATTGGAGAGAAAAAGAGGCACGCAAAATTTGTCAATGATTAATTAGCAATACTTTATCTTGTCATTGTTTCAAAAATAACTAATGAATTTAACGTATTCCAAATATGAATTTAATTTCTACCGAGTCACTAAAGAATAGCTATACTAAAGATCAAGAGGGAAATTTGTCGGGACGTTGTTGAAAGCGTACATACGAAGAAAGAAGTTCAATTACATTTGATATGTAGGGCTGAAAAAAATTTTTATATACCGGACACGTACGATGATCTACACATTGGATAAAACTTTTTCTTAAAAAAAAAAGCGTTAATAAAACACTCTAATAAAAATGCGAACAGTGCACTCGTGTTCGTGTTACGCTCTGAAGCCGAACGGCGGTTAAATCGCTCGAAGAAAGAGAAAGAGAGAGAGAAAGACAGAGAGAGAGAGAGAGAGTGCCTCGGTTATTAACCGGCGAAATTAAGAGCGTGCACAGCGTGTAGATATATCGTGATATAATGTAAAACCAGTTTAAGGGAGAATACAGACGACGAGAATACGGGAGGTCGGCCGCGTAGATAGCCGTGGAATGTGAACATCAGACGAAATTATCGCGCGTGTGCACCAGAGTACTTGCGCGCACCGAAATTCAATCCTGTCTGAGAGTTTTTTTTAGCTTGCATAATCAAAACTCGCGTCGCGCATCACTTCCCGTCTGCTCTGACAAAAAATCTCTCCCGTCTCCGCGTAAACAATAATAATTCGCGTTTATATCGCTTATATGTATAAAGCAACGATCCTACGAAAACTACAGCAATCTCTGTACTAATTTTGAAAATAATTGCTTCGTAAACTGATTCATTTAATCGAAATCTATATCGCGCAACATTTAAGAAGGGTCGTGTAAAAATAGAAGTATAATCTATAGTTTATAGAGTGAGTCAACGGAAATATTGTAGAATGCTTAAATATCTCTGTCCTGGATTTGAAGATACAGAGAGACTCTCGAAACACGCTTTATAAATTCCATTTCGCGCATGGCTTAATTCTGATTGATATTAATATGTAATCTATCGTCCTTCGAGTATATTTCTTCGACAATTTACTTTGCTGATCTGGCGGAAAACTCGCTACTTTCGTGCTGACTCCGAAAAAACGCGAAGCGCCGTCCAAGAGTGCGACACAACCTAGTTTGGTCCGTGAGAAACGATCCGTGTCTTCGTCCTGCTCTCCTTTCTCTCTCTCTTTCTTTCTTTCTCTCTCTTTCTTTCTGTCGGGACCGTCGAGACCGGTCCAACACAAGTACTAGGACTAATGACGAAGGACGAAGGTCCTTTCCGTTCTTTTTGCCATCGCGATTGTAATAACAACCGACCGACCGACCGATGCGGACTTCGGGACGAAAAATCGACGAGAGGAAGGAGAGAGGACAGAATGGAGAAGAGTAATCGCATTGTAGGAGGAAAAGGAAGGAAAGACACGCAAGTTATGGCAACGTGCCTGCGGCCGCGGAGACATATCTAGGCATTTAAACGCAACTCGTTCTCGCGATCCTTTTTAGCCTCGCGCTATCTTAGTCTGCCTATCTTGTCGCGTACTTCCCCAGCTTATTTTCTCTCTGTTTTCATGATACGTGTGTATGAGTCACGTTGAGGGATCTACTTACGATAATTCTTAAAAAATAAATCTCTTTTTATACAAAGATATGAGACTATTACATTATCTTAGATCAGTGATTATTTAATTTTTTACACTTTGAAAATTAATTTTGAAAAAGTTTTATTTTTAAAAAATATTAATCCAGCATTTAATCTCATTTTTATTCATGAGAAATTGTTAAATTTAAGGTTGTAGATAGATTGCAAATTATAGAGTCGTGCTCTTTATTTGCGCATAGAGAAGACGCTGTGGAAAACGAGGCGAAATTCCACGACGGATTCCAAAGAAACCGAAGTCGTCCATACCTAACGTGACCGGGCATTTAAACGGACATTTAAAGCCTTCTTAAGCAGGATAGATCTCGAGTTTAAAAAATCGAGATACAAAATATTTTCAACGTTTGTCATGATTAGATTAGTAGTAGTTCTTGAATTTTTCGAAAAATTTTATAATGAGAAAAAGATGAAGAATGGATATATATCTTTGTGCGTAATAATTAAAATAGTATTTATCTGTGACATTTTAGTGTCTATTCTGTTATTGTATCAATACTATTACACCTTCTACCTAGATGAATATTGAGAAACATAACAGAGACATAGCAATTAACAAAAATAATAAATAATATATGTCATCGTGTGTAAAAAAAATGTACTACTCATTTTTTATACGTTTCACACAGGCTTTTCCTCATTTCTTTCGAACTGTGCTAATGAGCGTGAATGTGATAATACGTGGAAAATACGTAGTACTAGTACATAATGAATGGATTATTCCTTCTAAAAGCGCGTTTCGACTCACGTCGCGACGCGCATGTTACTGACACGGTCTCGTTTATATGTATATGCATGACCTATTTAACAAAAAAAGAGAGAGAGGAAAAGCAAAGAAAAGAGGCGTTCGTGCGACTGACAGTTACGTGACGGTTTCCGCCGTCGGCGTACGTTCCACGATGCACCGTGGAGGTATATTCATTAATGCGTATGTTAACGATGTACGGCCTAGGTTGTTTACCGCACATATGTATATGTTCATGACACGATTACGACACATATAACGTGTGAAAAAGTACATTTCAAGAGGCGCTTGTCTACCCGTTTAGAAATATTTATGCGCCTCTATATTCAGAAAACCAAAGGTTACTCGGAGTTACCCGAATTCGAAATGAACGCATCGACGAACTAAAGTCATAATACGAATATTTTCTTTTGTCAATAATACTTGTTAATAATAATAATGACGAGTAAGTAATAAAAAAGGCATTCGAGCCTATCGATCTTAATTATTAATTCCTTGATCGCGATAGTACGTCTAATAATACTAATTTTATTAATTACTCGATTTTTCTCGAGTTCTTATTAATTAACTAATTCTTACCTCGAGCGCTGAGAGCAATGAAGGTCTGCGCGTGCCTCCGGACCATCACGGTGTCCCAAGTGCGCGGCATTGGCAATCTATTGAGGATGTGCATCAAAAAATCGCCGGGTGTTACCGCGGACAGTTCCCATTTTAGCTTAGAGACAACCAGCTGCTCCCACCTCTGCAACAAATTGGAACAGATGCTCGATTAATTTCGCGATAGACTCGTCATTCTAGCTCTATGCAAGAGGTATAGAAAGGAAAAGATGGCATTCACTAGTTGCATTAGTAACAATTTAACGGGGTTAGCGTAATTTTCCTCTCGTCATCGAAAAAAAGAGGGGCAGTAAATTGCATCGTTATTTTAGAGTACAATTATTTTTCATATAAATTATTGGTGTATTTCAATTATTTTCTTACATTAAAAGTAAAAAATTTATCTTAAGTCTGCATAAACATATCAGTGTAATAAAGATGTCTATGTAAGGAATAAATGTTTATAAATATATTAGCTGCATAGTTTATATATATATATAATTTTTATTTTTTAGTATTGTATTTTTATAATGACACGCGTGCCATTAATAATGTCACGATAGTGACATTACTCGTAAAATTCTTTGTAGAGATCGCGAAATGTAGCTTTATAAGATTCAACAAAGAACCATTAGATCTTTTATTTCCACTGAAAAAAAAGAAAGAGAATAATCTCCCTTTCATCGTAGATTAATGGGAAGCGCACGATCCGAGATCTTCCCTTTAAAAACGCGGAAATACGCATTTTTAATTACGCAGGTGCGACAACAAATCACGCGCGGCGGCAACGTCATCAAAAATCACGCAGCCTTGATCTCTCTTCGTTCCAAGTGTTGAACACGAGAGAGAGAAAGAGAGAGAGAGAGACATAGAAGAAACGAAAGTAGAAGAAGGAAAGACAGAGAGAGGTTTGCCCTTTCTCCGGCGAGGTTACTACGTCCGTTCTCTAGAGTACGTCGTAGTATACCCCCGTTCTCTTTCGACCGTGAAATTACACGGCGGGAGTTACGCGCGACGAGTACTACGTGTCCTTCGTCTTCGATTAAAAGTCCATTGAATTCGGCGAGGCTTCCCATCGCTCAGCTGTGACGAAACCGGGCAACGTGGTTCCGTTTCAAGTGTGAAAGCATGTTCCACAGAATCTTGGATGATTAATACACACGCGCGCGCATACATACACATTATATGTTTCTATAATATATATTAATATATTATAGAGAATAATTTTATAAATGTCTATAGAGATGTGTAGATATGCATATATGTACATCACGTCACATGATCATTAATTTATGTATTTTTATGCAATTATATGAAAACGTCTGTCTTTATTTCGCATTATTTATTTTTAATATATTGGCTCTCCGACGTCGTATTTACTTATAAATTTTGTTTTATTCTTTTTTTATATATCACCCGTGTGTTATACAGGATTAGTCATTTAGTTTTATGATATAGAACAACTATAACTTTTACTGCAAACGGAAACTGTTATATGTCCAAGGTATGATTTTAAAAAGTATTCGTGTTAATAATATTAGTCATGATACGCAGCATTCGAAACCGTACGATGAATATTTCATGTAATTTTCATTTAAACCCATTTTGAAGTATCTCTAATTTACGACCTAACTCACAAACAGAATTCTAAATATTAATATTTGATGTAGCGTGTTTTTCTGATATATCTATATATTTTGATATGTATCTTGTATATACATATGTAATTCTCCAAATTTTCCCGTATCTTACACACAAAATTATAAATAGAATATTGTGTTACAAATTATAAATCATCTTAAAATAAGTTTTAAAGTAATAATTATAAAATTATCATAACCATAAAGTGACTAATCTCCCTCTTCCTCTCTCTCCTTCGTAACAAATTGTGTAATTAAAATATAATTCCCGAATAAAATTTAAAAAAATTATAATCACATGAATTATATAATAATATACAAAAATTTAATAAAATACAAAATATTCGTGTTAAAACTATACCTGCAAATACGAGTCGTGAGGGGAAAGGAAAGAAAGCAACTTGTTCGTCGTCGTAGTCATCGCGTACGAGCCAAATTAAAGTTCTCGCAAAATGAAAGAGGATGTGCGCTCGAGGGAAGATAAACCGAGGGAGTCGTCCCTCTTCTCCTCCGGCTTATTCTCATCCTTGAAGGGGTTCCGCGCTCGAGTGCGTGCGTGCGTGCGTGCGTGCGTACGTACGTACGTACGTACGTACGCTCGCCATTCCCTCTAGTCTCTCGTCTCTCTCGTCTTTACACATCTCTTGTATGTCGGACGTCGAGAAACCGGTGAATGAAACAAAGGCTCGTACACACCGAAGAGTAGGAGAGCGACAATGTCTAATGACAGCGCGGTGATGTATAAAACACTATATTCTACTAGGCAGAACGGATCATCATAAAACGTGTCCCACTTTCATTTACCGTTGTAATTTTTCCCTTTTTGATGAAACAACTTGATTAATTTTAACTACTGCTATTGTCTATTATGTAGGTGAATTCATTTGGTACCGTTAATCTCTTATATCATTATCTCGATTACACTTTTATATTTTATTATATTGTTCTTTTGGTTTGAGAGATATAATATACGTGTATACACCTCTATATATAAATATATCTATTTCGTATCAATATTAATTATATTATTTATCTAACTACAAAAAATTACGATTATTATATAAATCATAAAATTTGAAAAAGCTGTATACTCATAAAATCAATAATTCATGAGACATGAATTTATGTAAATATTTCTGATACGAGATACATGTTATATGGCTGCGTTTGATCTGTCTGGCAGGTATATATGTAAAATGTTCTGCGCGACGATGCGCGTTCTGTCATCGCTCATCAGAATGCGGAGAGTCTACGATGCACTCACGGCGCGTGTACGCACGCTACGATACGCGCGTACGTAACGTAATGACACGTAATGATTCACGAGGGGGACAACGATCTGCTTCAGGGATAGTTGTTGAATCGACGATCGGGGCGACGATAAGCGTGCCTCGCATCGCGTCGCTTTAATGATAAAGAGTACGTTCACCGTCGTGTTCACCCTCTGTGATACATCACCCATCTAATTTCTACATTACATTACATTACGTTACATTACACTCATTACATTATGCATATTAAGTGTCACGGATAATATGATATATTTTTACAACGTAATATATCTAATCTATTAATTATTAAAAATTACAAAACATAGTTCTCTCTCTCTTTTCTTATTCGTTTAAAGTTTATAGATAACAAAATTAATATTTGTATTTTTAAAAAAATTTAAAATCTTGTATAATGAAATTTATCATCTATACGTGTATAATCGATGATAATTCGTTCAAGTAAGTAATCTAAGAGAGAATTTCCACTCTATTAAGTCAATATCAGTGTGCATCGATGTTCGATTATTACTGGATCAAAAAGGAAAAAGGGATGTAGGAGTGAAAGGAATAAGGGGCGAAAAGGTGTCGAAGCATGCTGTGAGACATGGAAAAGCAGGTGCTAGCTATGATGCTTTCACTTTCCCTATGCAACACACCTTCCAATGCACTTTGGGAATCTAAAATCACATTTTGCGATTAATATGATGTGTATATTCAATCTGTTGCATCTCCCGTTACGTCAACTTTCACACATTATATAAAGGACATAAATAATATCTTGTCTATGGATATTTTATCGAGCTTCGCTTCAAAATAAGAAATAAACATATTGTAAAGTAGAACTGTAAGCGTAAGAAACAGAATATAACACATATGATTTAATTAATTTATCATTACATCTCTATTCTGCGCGTTCATTTCTAGTTTTTAATATATAACATTTTTATTTCAAAATTAACTTTAAAAATGATTACCTAGATTACTTTCATTCATGTATCATTCATTATTTGTTTAGTACATTACATGTTGCTTTCAAATAAATTGGAGACTGAATAATGCATCGGAAGATTAACTTTATTAAAGCGCGTGTACATGCTTGGAAATACGAGTGCGGGTAAGATTTACGCGAAGCACGCAAGCACGCATGCGTAGTGCAACACGCGCAATTTAATCGCGTGTACGCCATAAAGGTCGATTCATATTATATGACGGCAACGACGCGACAGATTATTACGCAGCGAGGAATAATGGAGCAGCGGGCCATTTATTACGCATTCGAGATACAGCGACAATTTGAATAAAACAAAGCTAATGAGGCCAGAAGCCTCGCAGCGGATAATGTTCGAAGGGTTGCAAATCGAGAACAATAAATTCATTAGTATCTCGTTCAAATCTATAAATATTCAACTTTCTGTTTTATTTATCGCACGTCCTGCTTAGTAGAAAATATATTTTCAATATTAAATTCCTATCTTGAACATTATTTCAGCTACTCATTACAAAGCTGTTTACACACCTAAAAATATTTAATACACAATTTCAGCTAAAGCCAATTTTTAAAGTAAATTTTGTTGTCTTTTAAAATTATAAATATCTTTTTTAATATAAATTAGATTTTTTTTATATAATAATAACAAATGCGGTTTGTTTAATTATGTCCAACCTATTTTCTGGCGGTTTAATAATACTTATAATTTTTTTAACAAAGTCTATTATATACAATCCTGGATGTTATATAAAAAAATTAGTATATTATGCAATATTCCATATACGTGTTGTGATTATATTTTAGAGCTTATGTTATAGCAGAAGTATAGAGGTATAAAAAATTTCCACGGTACTTACATTTGCATTTCCGGTCTACAATTTATAGTCGCTCTCGATTCTCGCCGCAACTAGTATCGGCGGCTAGGTCAATAACTATCGAACGATCGATAAGGGGAGAGAGCACGGTGCATTTATGCGTTTCATTCATGCGCGCGCGAGCGATCGTGTTCGCACGGTTTGAATTGCGCACCTTGGGGCCCCCCGTTTTCCTGAGCGTGAGAAAGATAATCCCGATGAACACATGTGACTCTTTTTTTTTTTTTTTTTCAATGTTAGGTACGCCGAATATTGTGACACGGAGGAAAGAGATAGTATGTCGTGATAATGGCTAGCGCGAACGAAAACGCGTAATTATGATCATTAATCGTAATTACCGCGTGTACACGTGAGTTCCGCCGCATCGATGA